TCACTGGACAGCGGTCAAGAACATCCTGAAATACCTAAAAAGGACTAAGGATATGTTTCTCGTATATGGAGGTGACAAAGAGCTCATCGTAAATGGTTGCGTTGATGCAAGCTTTGACACTGATCCGGACGATTCTAAATCGCAAACCGGATACGTGTTTTTACTAAACGGTGGAGCTGTCAGTTGGTGCAGTTCTAAACAAAGCGTCGTGGCGGGATCTACATGTGAAGTAGAGTACATAGCTGCTTCGGAAGTAGCAAATGAAGGAGTCTGGATGAAGGAGTTCATATCCGATCTAGGTGTCATACCTAGTGCATCGGGTCCAATGAAAATCTTTTGTGACAATACTAGTGCAATTGCCTTGGCAAAGTAATCCAGATTTCACAAGAGAACCAAGCACATCAAGAGACGCTTCAATTCCATTCGGGATTTAGTCCAAGTGGGAGACATAGAAATTTGCAAGATACATACGGATCTGAATGTTGCAGACCCGCTGACTAAGCCTCTTCTACGAGCAAAACATGATCAGCACCAAGGCTCCATGGGTGTTAGAATCATTACTGTGTAATCTAGATTATTGACTCTAGTGCAAGTGGGAGACTGAAGGAAATATGCCCTAGAGGCAATAATAAATTTATTATTTATTTCCTTATATCATGATAAATGTTTATTATTCATGCTAGAATTGTATTAACCGGAAACATAATACATGTGTGAATACATAGACAAACATAGTGTCACTAGTATGCCTCTACTTGACTAGCTCGTTGATCAAAGATGGTTATGTTTCCTAACCATAGACATGAGTTGTCATTTGATTAACGGGATCACATAATTAGGAGAATGATGTGATTGACTTGACCCATTTTGTTAGCTTAGCACTTGATCGTTTAGTTTGTTGCTATTGCTTTCTTCAAGACTTATACATGTTCCTATGACTATGAGATTATGCAACTCCCATTTACCGGAGGAACACTTTGTGTGCTACCAAACGTCACAACGTAACTGGGTGATTATAAAGGTGCTCTACAGGTGTCTCCGAAGGTACTTGTTGGGTTGGCGTATTTCGAGATTAGGATTTGTCACTCCGATTGTCGGAGAGGTATCTCTAGGCCCTCTCGGTAATGCACATCACATAAGCCTTGCAAGCATTGCAACTAATAAGTTAGTTGCGTAATGATGTATTACGGAACGAGTAAAGAGACTTGCCGGTAACGAGATTGAACTAGGTATTGAGATACCGACGATCAAATCTCGGGCAAGTAACATACCGATGACAAAGGGAACAATGTATGTTGTTATGCGGTCTGACCGATAAAAGATCTTCGTAGAATATGTAGGAGCCAATATGAGCATCCAGGTTCCGCTATTGGTTATTGACCGGAGACGTGTCTCGGTCATGTCTACATTGTTCTCGAACCCATAGGGTCCGCACGCTTAACGTTGCGATGACAGTTTCATTACGAGTTTATATATTTGATGTACTGAAGGTTGTTCGGAGTCCCGGATGTGATCACGGACATAACAAGGAGTCTCTAAATAGTCGAGACATAAAGATTGATATATTGGACGACTATATTCGGACACAGGAATGGTTCCGGGAGTTATCGGATATAAAACGGAGTACCGGGGGTTACCGGAATCCCCCTCGGGGGTTAATGGGCCTCATGGGCCCAAAGTGGAGTAGAGGAGGGGCGGCCAGGGCAGGCTGCACGCCCCCTCCCCCTCTAGTCCGAATTGGACAAGGAGGAAGGGGCGGCGCCCCTCTTTCCTTTCTCTCCTCTCTCCCTTCCTTCCCCCTCTCCTAGTTGGACAAGGAAAGGAGCCTCCTCCCGGACGGCCGCCCCTCCCCCTTTCTCCTTTATAGACAGGGGCAGGGGGCACCTCTAGACACAACAATTGATCCTTGAGATCTATTAGCCGTGTGCGGTGCCCTCCTCCACCATAATCCTCGATAATATTGTAGCGGTGCTTAGGCGAAGCCCTGCGACGGTAGAACATCAAGATCGTCACCACGCCGTCATGCTGACGGAACTCTTCCCCGACATTCTGCTGGATTGGAGTTCGGGGATCGTCATCGAGCTGAACGTGTGCTAGAACTCGGAGGTGCCATAGTTTCGGTGCTTGATCGGTCGGGCCGTGAAGACGTACGACTACATCAACCGCGTTGTGCTAACGCTTCTGCTTCTGGTCTACGAGGGTACGTAGACAACACTCTCCCCTCTCGTTGCTATGCATCACCATGATCTTGCGTGTGCGTAGGAATTTTTTTGAAATTACTACGTTCCCCAACATCCAGATGGATCTAGAGGGGGGGCGGCGGCCAAGGGGGGAGGCTTGCCCCCCAAGCCAAGGGGGGCACCCCCTTTAGGGTTCCCCCAAACCCTAGGCGCTTGGGCCCTAGGGGGTTTGGCGCCCAGCCCACCTAGGGGCTGGTTCCCACTCCATATTCAGCCCATAGGGCTCTCCGGGGCAGGTGGACCCTCCCGGTGGACCCCCGGAACCCTTTCGGTGGTCCCGGTACAATACCGATAAACCCCTGAACACTTCCGACGACCGAATAAGGACTTCCCATATATAAATCTTTGTCTCCAGACCATTCCGGAACTCCTCGTTATGTACAGGATCCCATCCGGGACTCCGAACAACATTCGGTAACCACGTACAAATTTTCCCTATAACCCTAGCATCTTCGAACCTTAAGTGTGTAGACCCTACGGGTTCGGGAATCATGCAGACATGACCGAGACATCTCTCCAGCCAATAACTAACAGCTGGATCTGGATACCCATGTTGACTCCCACATGTTCCACGATGATCTCATCGGATGAACCATGATGTCAAGGATTCAATCAATCCCGTATACAATTCCCTTTGTCTACCGGTATAGCACTTGCCCGAGATACGATCGTCGGTATACCGATACCTTGTTCAATCTCGTTATGGTAAGTCTCTTTACTCGTTCCGTAACACATCATCCCGTGACCAACCCCTTAGTCACATTGAGCTCACTACGATGATGTCTTACCGAGTGGGCCCAGAGATACCTCTCCGTCATACGGAGTGACAAATCCCAGTCTCGATTCGTGCCAACCCAACAGATACTTTCGGAGATACCCGTAGTGCACCTTTATAGCCACCCAGTTACGTTGTGACATTTGGCACACCCAAAGCATTCCTACGGTATCCGGGAGTTGCACAATCTCATGGTCTAAGGAAAAGATACTTGACATTAGAAAAGCTTTAGCAGACGAACTACACGATCTTGTGCTATGCTTAGGATTGGGTTTTGTCCATCACATCATTCTCCTAATGATGTGATCCCGTTATCAATGACATCCAATGTCCATGATCAGGAAACCGTAACCATCTATTGATCAACGAGCTAGTCAACTAGAGGCTCACTAGGGACATGTTGTGCTCTATGTATTCACACATGTATTATGATTTCCAGATAACACAGTTATAGCATGAACAATAGACAATTATCATTAACAAGGAAATATAATAATAATCATTTTATTATTGCCTCTAGGGCATATTTCCAACAGTTCTGGAGATAAAACATGTTTTCATCTGAAACTGCTTTTATCCAACTACTTTATTTGTCAAACAAAATTAGCTTTATGCAAATTGAGCCATACAGCCTTCCTTTGAAGCCACACGTAGCTATTAGGTCCTTCCCCGTGGGAGGCATGTTGATTACGTAATGTACTCGTGACAATACTTTTGTTGAACAATAGAGATCTATGAAGACGAGGGCGTCGACTATGACTATTATGATGATCCTAAGGAGTGAGGACACGTTGACTACATCGACTGCATGTGGCGGAGATGGAGTCACTACGTATTTATATATTCCACTGTGTTTTTGGTTGTAATAAATGTCATGAGACATTTCACTATGTATGCCTTGTGACAAGAGTTATTAAACTTATATTTTATACTTATTTTAATGTTCTGCAATGATACCATTTCGCTGTGTTGTCAAGGTGATCCTGGATTGACAAATATACACAGGAGGGTCTGGAAATAATTTCGCCTCTGCCTGCGCGCAGGAGTACGAGCGGCACCCAAACGCCGGCAGCTTCCCGAGCGCGCGCACACCGACGATATCCCGCGGCCAAATGATCACATCGCGTTCCCGTCAGCATTTTCTGCAGCAGCCCCGGGGCAGTGCAGTACGAGCACCTGCCAGACCGGGAGAAGCACGGCCTCAGTCTCTGGCAGCAAAGATCGTGAATTTTGGCCGGCGAACGCAGTAGTCCGCGGATGGCGAAGAGGCAGGCGTACATCCGACATGGCGGGACGAGCTGCAGCGCGCGGCCGCGACGAGCAGCCCAGCAGGGTCGGGGCAGCTGAAGCAGAGGACTGCTGCGAGTGACATGGTGATGGCCACAGCCGCAATGAGCGCGCGACACCGCATCACATCGTGTCGCTGGCGCGCGTGCAGCTGGACCGGCAAGCTGCTTATTGCTGGCGCAGATGCATGAGCCCGGTCATCATCATCTCAGGCGGCGGGGACGCCGAGGAGGTCGAGCGCCGAGTGGCGACGTGCTTGTCTTCGCCAAGGGAGTCAACTCGCGGCAAGGCATGAACCGCGTGGCCTTCGACATGGTGTGTACGTACTACCGATGTGGAAAGTAACAAGAGAGAAAACAGAAGCAAAACCACCCTCAATTCTCTCCAAAATCACCTAGGCTGAGATTTATACGGTTTTGCAAAGTTTAGGGGGAAAATAATCCGGTTTTGAAGTTGCGGAGGTTATTGATCCATTAAGGAGGATTTGAGGAGGGAAAACTATACTTTCTTCTTCAGTAAACTGCAAGCGGGCCGTACCACGGCCTAACGGGCTTACAGCCCACCGGGCATTAACCAAGGCAACTACCGAAAACCAACCGAAGTTAAGGAAGGAAAAAAATGGTACGGGGCAGATCAAATCGGGGCAGGAAGTAGCTCAACCCCCCGGAGTGGACTGGCCGGAGCCGGACGGGAGCAGGATGGAGTGGACGACGGTGGAGGCGGCGGACGGGGCCAAGCTGAGCGTGCGGGTCTTCAAGCCGGCGGCGCCGGTGGAGGGCGCGGAGGACGTGTCGGTGGTGCTCGTGCACCCCTACACGATCCTCGGCGGCGTGCAGGGCCTGCTGCGCGGCATGGCCCAGGGCCTCGCGGAGCGGGGCCACCGCGCCGTCACCTTCGACATGCGCGGCGCCGGGCGCTCCACCGGCCGCGCCTCGCTCACGGGCTCCAGCGAGGTCGGGGACGTCGTCGCCGTCTGCCGCTGGGTCGCCTACACCCTCAAGCCGCGCGCCGTCCTCCTCATCGGCTCCTCCGCCGGTAGGTTAACTCCGCCGACCCCCTCGCTCCTCTCCGTAAGTGTTCGGTTTGCCTTGTTGTGAGATTCAGCGAAGCCGGTAATCAAATTGACCAAATCAGTAGCTATTCTGAAACTGCATATCAGCAAATGGCATACGCAATTGACGATTAACTGATTAAGCACTCATCTTGACCTGCGACCTGAAATGGATAGGTGATGCGTTGCACTGTTGCATTGGAATTGAAAGCTCAAACAACCTTTTGTCCTGATGGAATTTGCCTTCAAATGTACTCATCGTACAATTTTCTTATTACTTCAGTGTCCCCAAAGTCCAAAGATCAAACTAACAGCTGGGTATTACTCACTGTCTCACTGATTTGTGCTCGGGGCTGTTGAGGGGCTGCTAAGTAACCCTTGAGACTCAGAGGCTCCAGTGACTGACCTTATCGTATTGTTAAGGCAACCCCAGTCTTCTCAGAAGCAATTTTTCTTGTTAGGTTATCACCACTATTTTTCAGCCTATCCTTATTAACGTAGGATACCCCGGTCTTCTCCACCGATGCGGCGATGCATCTTCAGTTTGCCGTGACGCGAGATTCAGTGAGGCCAGTAATCAAAATTGACCAAACAAGTAGCTCTTCTGAAACTGTATGTCAACAATTGGCATAAGCAATTGACAACAATTAGACACTCATCTTGACCCGCGACTAATGAATAGGCGATGTGTTGCACTGTTGCATCAGAATCGAAAGCTCAAACTTTCTGTCATCATTGAATTTTCCTTCAAATGTACTCATCAAACAGTTCTTTTACTATTTCAGTGACCCTAAAGTCCAAAGATCTAACTAACAGCTGAGTATTATCACTGAAATGTATTCAGAGCAGTTGAGCAGGTGCTAAGTAACCCGTAAGACTAAGAGGCTCCCATGTTGACCTTCTCCTGTTTTTAGGGTAACCCCAATCTTCTCAGAAGCAACCTTTCTTGCTAGATCATTACCACTACTTTTCATCCGATCATTAATGCAGGACACTAGACTAAGCAGATTAGTACTCCCTCCGTTCGGAATTACTTGTCGCAGAAATAGATGTATCTGGATGTATTTTAGTTCTAGATACATCCATATCCGAGACAAGTAATTCCGAACGGAGGGAGTATTTCTCAGAAGCAACCTGGACATGAGACAGTTGTGCTGTACCTATTTTTGGCCACTAATCTGTCCTAAAGATTAGTATTGACTTGACAGTAATGAGGTGTGCAAAGCACACCTACTCTGCTTACCTCTACCCAGTACTGCTCCCTGTGCTCCTAACTGGATTGACGTGCAAGGGTCTTAAGATTTCGTAATGTTAACACAGTGCAAAGCAGTGGCAACTAATTAAGTACCGGTAAGAGAACTTGTGTTGTTGCACAAAATACAATACTGGATCAGGATGATGACGAAATCGTTATGCCTACTAGTTTTCTTCATCCATTCATGTAAGTACTGAATTAAGTTTGGTCATGTATCTCAGTCTAGTTTCCTGTCACAGGAGCACCAATTGCGGGATCTGCAGTTGATAAAGTTGACCAGGTGGTTGGCTATGTCAGCATCGGCTACCCATTTGGTTTAATGGCCTCAATCCTATTCGGCAGACATCATGATGCTATCCTCAAGTCTGAGAAACCAAAGTTATTCATCATGGGAACCAAAGATGGCTTTACGAGCGTAAAGCAGCTGCAAAACAAGCTCAGGTCGGCTGCTGGACGGGTTGATACACACTTGATTGAAGGAGCCGGTCACTTCCAAATGGAAGGTCCTGCTTTTGATGCCCAGATGGTAGATCTCATTGTCAATTTTATCAAATCTTTGCCCAAATAGTGTACTGTAACTGTGTGAAAGTGCGCAAAGCGTGTAGTGATGAACATCGAAAACATACGATTTGGATAGTGCCTTCATGGTTTGTATTTTCTCGTGTTGTATGTGTACACTGGGTGTTGTGTTCGAGATAGTAATCAAATCTTAGTTTCCATTTCATATGAGTTTTAGACTCAGTGATGCAAGCCGCATGGAAAATCTTATTGTCATCACGACATTGTAATCCAATCTTATTATTGTTTGTATAGCCATACTTCTACTTGTGAGTGGTTGCTGTCCTTGCAGTCCAAAAACTGTACTCACATCATTATAATGGAACCAGGTATAGTTTCTGTCTCTTTCTGTCTTTCTGAAATTGTTTGTCAAGCGTTAGCTTCGTCGTAGGTTATATACATGGCTGATGTTGATCTTACGTCTTGTTCTCTGTTTTCAGGCTGGTGGAGGGTGGCCTTCACGACGACGAACCGAGACTAGAAACCTGAGGTTATATATGACCGGTGTTGATCTCATGTCTTATTCTCAGTTTTCAGGCTGGTGAAGGGTGGCCTTCACGGCGACGAATGTACGCTAGAAACTTGAGATGCACGTAACGCGGCTGATCCATCTAACAATAAATAAACTCGTTTTCAACTTTCAACAGATTTGGTTTCGGGGGATTTCATCATCAGCTTTGGAGAAACCTCTGGGACGAGCAACCTGGAGGTAGGGGAAGCATGCAATGAGCATTCTGAAGGGGGAACGTGTTGGATTTGATTTGAGCTGAAACAAGGGGCAGAGGGGGCCTAGCTGGGCATCGGTAGGTCTGATCCTCCTGCAATTTGGTCTGCACCTAGATCATTTTTCCTTCCTTTTTCGTGTCAGCAGATCAGATGGCGTGGATCTGCAGCGCGCGTCATCAAGGGCCGTACGTGGTCCTAATCTCCCACGCTTTATTTGCAAAACCTCAGCGTAAACTGTACCCCAGCTGATGCCTCTGGTGCTGCTGGTGGAACGCAGATGCAGATCCGGATGTGGTGACGAAACACAAAATCTTTTGCTGCGCTGAGTTATTGTAGAATGATATTTTTTACCAAATAAAATTGTATTTTTTTTAATTCACAGTTCATGTTTCGAGCATGCCGAGTTCACAAGTTAGCGGTGAGAATTGAAGGGCAATAACTCGGCCAGGACCTGACATCAAGAGCAGCAAGTACATCCATCCTCTTTCATGCTTGTGTAGAGATACGGTGGTGCCACACCACTGATCATCGGTACGCGTCCTCGCTAGTTTGGTCCTTGACCTAGAAAAAAAAATCACCTCGATCCAAAATCCACGCGAGTAATTGTAAATAAGAAGGTGAAATACGAATTCAAAGCAGAGAGGGGAAGAAGAAATCACGGTGCAGTGCCGTGTCAGGATTCAGAAATAATTTAGTCGAGCCACTTGCCACAGGAGCTGGAGCGGGGTCGGCTTTGTCTAACCACTGTCCGGTAGCGGTAAGTAAGTGCCGTTTCACTGTAGATAATTAATCAATGACGTTCACTCGCACTCTACTATTAGACACTGCATAAGCTGGTAGCACGCCGAGTAGAAACATGCAGGGCCACGGCTAATACTGTGCGGTAAATAGTAGAACATGACCAGTAGAATGGTTGGTAACCCTAGGAGGCACAGGCACAGGGATGCTGTGTCAGGTGTCGAAAGGCAGGCAAGGCAACTACTGTCTACTGCTACCGACGTTAAACATCCGCTAACACTGAGCAAAAATGCCATCATGGTAAAACTGCAGCACGTTCCTAGGGATCCACGCCGATTAACTTTTTAAGCCGGGAAATTGCTGAGAAGCACATAACTATCTTCAACGGTGGGTAGGCTGCAAGTAAAAAAAAATGATAAACAACGGGCAAATGACCCCTCAACAATATATCTAGAAGGGCTAGCTCCCCCTCTCTTTCCCTCTCTCTCTCTCTCTCGCCCCAGCTGCTGCCTGCTATGCCCCAGCAGCTATTGGAGCTCAGCCATCCAGAAGTAGCAGAGCGCTGGCTAGCTTTGGTAGCTGTTCGTCGATAAGAGCCCCCTCCCGCTTCCCGCACGCCACATATAGCAATCTTTGCTGTTGCCTCCCGATCCGCTGTACTTCCGGCATCGCAGGCCAAGGATTGCCACCGATCCATCGTTTGTTTTCCTCTAGCGCCAGGAGAGCTCCATCTTCTTCTTTTTTGCTGAGATTGGTGCTGCTGCTTGGAGTAGACGCCAGCTTTGTGGCAGGTCAGTTCCTCGTTTTCCATCCATTAATCTGAGAAATGGTTCAGCTGTTGATTTGAATCAGTCCTTGTTTATATATCTTTCTGCTTTCTTGCATAGATAGATGTTATATGTTCTGTAAGAGATTTATTTAAGTCTGTATCCGTCAGATGCGTATTGCTTTGCTGTTTTGTGTAGCTTGCGTCTGGATATTTGGGTTGCTTGATCTGAATTTGCATCTTTTCGATTGCCATGGATCTCAATGAGAATCGTACTTTTCTCGAGAATGAACAAGAATCATAATACTAGTTCATTCTCACCTCCACAAACCAAGAACTCAATAGAACATTTACTGATGTAGCTTGCTTGATAACGGCATGTAGATTAGCTCACTTTGCTGATTTCTATTACCAATCCAAATCGGTTCAGGAGTAAAAATTTGTAACCGCTGTTCTTCATGCCACTGCTGCAGATTTGTAGAACTTTAGCTGGATTATCTTAGCACAAGGTGTCTCTGTAAAACACTCCAGTTTCAGTAAGCAAACTGATACTGATAGAGTAGAAGCAGCCGCTTCAGTGGTTGCCCAAACCAATCTATAGTTCTTGCTGCTGCTGCTGCTGCTGAGTTGAACCAACCAATGGGTAGAGGAAGAGGCAGAGGCAGAGGAAGGACGGCGGCCATTGCCAGGAGCCATGAAGACAAAGGAAGCAGCGGTGAAGAGGTCGTGCCTGCAAGAAAGAGGAGAGGGAGGCCGCAGAAGCACTTCGCCGATAAAACCGAACAGGTTGATGTTGAGAATTTCGTAGAAGATGTCGATGGCGGCGATGAAGATGGCAAAGATGTTAAACTGAATGCAAGTGCTGGTGTGAAGAGAGGCAGGCCACTGAAGGAGAGCCCCAACATGGTCCTGGAAGAGAACAGCAATTCCAGCGTTCGATCAAGCAGCGATGAATCGGCCAGGACCAATGGGTTCAGGCAGATTGGGAACCGGAGGAAGAGCACGCCCCGGCGAGCAGCGGAGGCAGGGCTGGAATGCAAGTAGCAATGAGCAGTGCCATGCCAATCCATCCATGCGATTTTCGGTGCCAGGTAGCCTTCATAATTTGTTTCAAATGTAAACATGACATGCACCGAGTGCTGAAATTCGTGTGTTTATGTGGACGCAAAATGTATGAACTGATGATAGAACACCTACGGAATCTTGTTCAGCTGTTGTAGGCTGATTACTACTAGTATTTTGGTCTGCTTGTTTGTGGCAGAGCTTTACTTGAGGACAACTAGGGATGATAGTATTGCAATTTTGATCATGTTGTTGGTGCTACTCAGGATAAGGGTTATCTATCCAAGCAGTTTTATGTATTTTTGGCTCGTACTCTGGTTCGTCAATCTTATCCAAACGAAACTGCTACCAGATTATATATGTTCAGACAAAAGAAAGCTAGTGCTATATTATACTACTCCAGAAGCCATCGTGCCAAGCTGTGGGACGACGATCAATTCCTCCTCGTCGGCAGAGTCGATCGTGGGAACTTGATGCTGGAAACTGATGCATTGTGTGTGTAACGTGATGTAGTAGCATTGCATTTGGACAGCCGTTCTCTCTGCATATCATCTACTCCCAACCGACCAACCAACCAGCGCTCCCACACCACGATTCAATTGGGAGCACATGACAGGAGCCTCGACGCAGACGAGGTGGTGGTGGTGTCGCTGTAGCAGCGGAAACCCGGGCCGCGTCGGGGAGGTAGGGGGGTTCGGGAGCCCGGACACGCGGGGGCAGGGCACGGCCGGCAGCGGCTTTCCGCAAAGCTGCGCCGCTTTGCGACTCGCCCGGCTCGGTGTGGGGCGGCGGTGGCCTGCGCGGCGGCCCCGCGGGCACGTGCTGCTGGCCGGCGAGGGGCGTGGAGCGGCAGACGCGAAGCGAGGTTGTACCCGTACGGGGCGGGCAGAGCGACGCTGTCGCGGGCGCGACATCATCATCGCCGCCGCCGCTGCCGCTGCCTGCCGTGGCCCGGCTCCGGACCCGGTGCGCCATCATTCGGCACTCCGCCCCGCTCTGCTCGCTGGCTGGGGGCATGGGCGTACTGCTACGGCCACTGGAGGGGTGCCCTGGGCTACTTGCGTGATAATTGCACTGTGAGTACTGGTCTGGGCACTGGCCAGGCGGGGCTGACCGCTGCACGAGGAGTCGAGCAGACCACGGCGGGACGCCGTGCCATGCCATCGATGAAGTTGCTGCACTGGGAATCGCTGACGCTCGTGATTTATGAGGCGATCGATGAAGCCGTCCGATCGGGCCTGCCTGGATTCCACGAACACGAAATGGGACATGGGCTCCATGTGACGTAGGCGCTACAATTGATACCTTTCCCCATTTTACTTTTGCTTCGATACACCTTTTTTTTTGCGAGGGAAAAGATATGCTTCGATACACCCTACAAACACATCAACGATCAAGATCGGTCTGTCCCCCCCTTCATACTTAAACAACTAATAACATTAAAAAACTATTAAGTCAAGTCTAACCCTAATATTTCAAAAAGGAAGTCAAGTCTAAACCCTATTGAAATCCGAATGACCCGGCCTTAGAAAGTTAGCAGGTTCTAAACATTGATATCCAATCTCGAAAAAAAAAACATTGATATCTTTCTGTGAAGAAGAATACTCGGATCGTGTAGAGCCAACCATAGTCAGAGATCATCGAGAGAGTTTCATCTTGGCATCCACGAGTAGACTCGAGCGTGTGGCTGACATTGTTTCAGCAGAAGCTGTTGTACTACTTTTTTTTTAAATGGAGGAAGACCCCAGCCTCTGCATCTGGACAATGCATGCAGTCACTTTATTAATTATTCACACAAAATCTTACAAGACTAAAGCCAACGTTTAGACAACATCTGTCGCTACTCCTACGCAGCTGATGAAGGGACACTGATAGTCTGAGGCTAATACCAAACAGACCTCGCAACCAAACCTAACATCTAAAAACTGAGGTCCCAACCAGGACGCCTGCCGGGTATGGGGCATCCATCAGTTCAGCGCACTCCTCAACCAGGACACCTACCTGGTATGAGGCCACCACAGTCACCTGCCATCACTTCATCTTCAATACTGTACTGTTGCATCTACCTTGTCCTGTTTAGCTGTCGTCGACGCCACCATCCTACACGTATCCATCCACACACGCCCGTCGCCGAAACTCCGCAGCGCCATGCCGCCGGGATCCGTCGTCGGCCTTCCGGTAAATGAAACACTGCTCCTCCTCGTCCCTTCCAGCCAGCTCCTGCTCCAAAACGATGCCCTCAGGAGGGAGCACGACATCGAAGGCGATGTCATCTTCCGATCCGGTAGATCCAAATCTAGGGTTTCCCCCGGAACATCCCGATCATGTTGACGCAGTTTGCAACGACGATGCCTTAACACGAGGCATCGAAGACGCCGTCATCGTCCGCCATGACCGAAGTCGGCGCGATTTTCATCGGAAGTAGCGCCACCACGATCTCGCCGCTGACTGGATCCGAGCACACCCTCGCCATGTAGACGTATGGTGTCATCGGAAAGCCGGTTGAGGACCTCCGGCCGCCCCATCCCGGCCCATCACGCGCCGTCGGCCGGCCATAGCCGAAGCACGACGGATCTGGCCGGGATGCCAGATCCGCAGCCACCGCCGCCACCCAACCCGGCCAGGCAAGCCAACGACTCAACCCACCGGCCATGGGGGAAACGGCCGCCGCCCCACGCCAGGGTCGCCGCCCTGACCGCGCCGGCTGAAGACGAAGGCGCCAACGCGAGATCGATCCAGACGACCTGAATCCCTCGTGCGCGACCCCGGTCAGCCACGCAGAACCTCCTCGCTGCGCTTACGAGAGGTTCACCGCCGGATCCACCACGCCGGCTTCCGCCGCTATGCCGCAAGCGGGCCACGCCGTCCAGGGCAAAGCGCCGCCGCGAGGAGAAGAGTGCCTTGCCGCTGGCGTCCTTCGAGGCGGGCTTCGCCCGTCGGCCTCCTCCGGCAGCGGCCAGGCCACGGGCTGCAGATGCGAGGGACGGGGCGGTGGCGGCTAGGGTTCGCTCGTGCCGCCCCCGAAGAGCGACACGAGCGCTTGCGATGTTATTTTTCTCCAATGTGACTATTAGAAGGGCATAAACGCATCCAAAGCCTAGGATGCAACAATGTCCCGGTGAGGATGGACAACATCACAGTGGTGGAAGCTTTAAAGCTTAATGAAGGTCATTCTATGGTGGCAGTCCCTATCTTGAGGTTTTGCAGAGTATTGCTTAGAGAGATCAGGAAGGTTACTATTGAGCATTGTAACAGAGAGTCAAATGTAGTTGCTCATCAGCTAGCTCATTGGGGGTCGTGTAAACACTCCCTCATTGTGGGTGGATGCACCTTCTGATTTTATTGCTAAATTTTTAGCAGACGATGTAAGAGTTATTTGATTTAATAAAGCTGGCCATCAAGGTCTTCCCATCAAAAAATAATAATCCGTATGACCCATTTGAATCCATATGTGTTGTACAATTAATATGGCTGTATATATTTATGGGCGTCATCGCCCACTCCTCTTGCTCGCCTCATCCTTGCCGAACAGGCGCACCCTTGGAAGAAGCGATGATGCCCTCCTCTCTGGCCCGTACCGGCCTCCACTCCATCCCACGTCACCCTCTCCGCTACATCTCGTATCGGTCTCTACCCCATCCCATGCCACTTCACCATCCCAATCCATGCCACCCTGTGCACCGTTTGGCACCACACCCACACCGCCAACTTATCAGATTAGTTTGGCGGCTGTAGCAAATGATTTTAGGGAACCCTAACTGCCGACCCAGTCACAAATGGGATGTCCCAACACGCCCCCGAAGGTAGTTCCGAAAATCTAGAGGCACATTCCCGACGGCCAGGATTCGGGGCTACTTCCGGTGTAACTTCTGGCTGAGCAACAGAGCCTTTGTTGTCAACCATAACCTTATGATGGAACCGATGCCACAATTTGAAGCTCCGAGGAGTGACCCAGAAGTTCTGTGATAAACTTCCAAATGAAGTAAAAAAATCCTTTTTGAGTTAAGGAGGGTGTGGCGGATAGAATTGCCCCCGGTGCCCCCACCCTAAAAAAGGACTGGATGACCCAAGAACTATTTGTCAACCCTTCCTAGCGGGCCCGACTTGTCATAGACACATCGAACGGTCAACGTAATTAATGAGGCCACCCATCTTGCCACGCGGCGGCGTAACGGTTCCCTCACGCATTTTAACGGCTTCCAAGGCACCGGGATTCCAAGGCGCTACCATTAATGTCGATCGATGCCCACCTACCATCTACCCCTCTCCATATCCTACTCTTCCCTAGGGGCCTACCATTGCACAATCCTCTCCGTCGCCTCAGCCTCCAGTCTCTACAGCCGTCGCAGGATGGCGTGTAATGACGACGGGGCCAGGTCCAGCCAATGGGCACTAGGAGGGTTGCTGCGTAGTCTAACCGCTAGTAAGGCATCATAGTTAGCGGAGTACAACATCCTGGCGTCGTCCAAGACGTTGCAACTCCCGTAGGAGTTGTTGTATTTCCCCAAAGAGGAAGGGTGATGTATCACAACAGCAAAGAGTTGTTGGCGAACGCAGTAATTTCAAAAAAATTCCTACGCACAGGCAAGATCCATCTAGGTGATGCATAGCAACGAGGGAAAAAAAGTGTTGTCTACGTACCCTCGTAGACCGTAAGCGGAAGCGTTATGACAACACGGCTGATGTAGTCGAACATCTTCAAGATCTGACCGATCCTAGCACCGAAGGTACGGCACCTCCGCGATCTGCACACGTTCAACTCAGTGACGTCCCACGAACTCTAGATCCAGCTGAGTGTCGAGGGAGAGTTTCTTCAGCACGACGACGTGATGACGGTGATGATGAAGCTACCGGAACAAGGCTTCACCTAAGCACTGCAACGATATGACCGAGGTGGATTATGGTGGAGGGGGCACCGTACACGACTAAGATAATTGTCAACTTGTATGTCTATGGGGTGCCCCCTCCCCCGTATATAAAGG